GAGTGTTACTCGTCGAAAGCTTGAGATAGAATTACTGTGGATTTGAATAAAATCTAATCATGTACTTCGTAGCAGTATGGTACTATCTAATTCATTATATATTTTCAACTGCTGTACCAATTAATTTCTTATCAAGTAAACCACACTTTATGCGCCTTGTAGAATATTGGATGAAGATTTAAATTTTTTATTTATCTGTTGAATACAAGTCAGCAACAAATTATTCTACTATAGTTTCGCTTCAGTTATTGCATTCGAATTGTTTTCTCTATTAGTTAGGTAATATACGCGTGCTTTTCATTCTCGTTTTCTTGTCAACAAATCGTGCTAGCAAAAATGAAGGTTTTTATTCTCCTACTCTTTTGCACTGTTACAACTATTCATGCTACTACTGGCGTAATTCAAAATATTACTATTGTTGATGAAATTGATCATCCAGTTGTATTTCTTGCATATAAAGTTAATGCACGTCAGCTTCAGCCATTCATTGATCGAAGACTAAAAGTGGCGACATTTACTGATGGTTATGCTTATTTAATTATTGCAGTGAACAATATAACCCTTGCACCAAATCTTTTCGATACTATTTCGATAACTGCTCTGGGAACAAGAATCTTTACAATTGTTTCTTATCAGAATAAACTGAAACGTACAATATTACATCTTGAAGTAGAAGATCTTCTTTCAAGCATATTATGTGAACCTTTTATAGAATTTCCGTATGGATGTACAGTAGTCCCAGATATAAAATCTAAGTTAAATAATCAAACATCAAAGTATGAATTTACAATAAAATCATTTAATCCTACAACTCTACAAACAATCGACTTTCAGTTAAATATGACATTTGATACAACAAAATCACTTAACTATAACGATCAATCAACATTAACTGGTTTCGTGTTAAATAACATAACAAATAGCCAATTTATTCAATCATTATATAGCAAGGGGACAAAAGTACTAGAATCGTCAATATTATTAGCCATCGGTAATTATTATGATAGTAGGTTTACTGTTGTTCATCCATGTAAAACTGAACGAATTAATTCCAATTTTATAGCGGCAGCAATCGGAAAAATGAACGGTTTGAATGAACTGGAACCAGATTTATGTATTTATTCACCATATTATTCATTTAAAGCTACAGCCGCAATACCAATGTTATCACCATAGAAAGTGCATACACTTTGTTATATGCACTATTTTTATTTTCGCTTTTTAATCAATTCGCACTGTTGAATCATTCCATTGATATTCTATTTATTCTGGCAATCCATTCTCTCAAAGTGGGCTTTCTGTCGTAGATCAGGAACATCTTATTTTGTTTCAAATAATTATTGTATGTCCAGTACACAACAAAGCGGTGTAGTGAATGCTATGGAGTATATAATGTTGGCGATTTTCACCTTCACCAGAGAGCATTAATAAAATTCAGATTTTATTTGGTAATCTATGATTTCTGCTTTTCTTAGAATTTCATAGATTTTATGCATAACTGGATATGATTGCAAATTATTTTGTAATGATTTGATAAAAACAGAGAGATCATCAGATATTCTTATATTTTGTAATAAATAATTCCATTTTCAAATAATACAAGGAGAAAAGCTTTTTCAAGATATCGTGTTGAATACTGGTATGTTGATTTTGTAGTAGCAGAGATGTCAAATATGATGATGTAATTCCTTTAATTATTTTATGAAAAAAGGATTAACTTGTGTTGTAGAAAGAGTTAATCTAAAGAGTGTCAATCTAAACATTTAAAAATTTTATCGTTTTTTATTAATCTTTATGCTCCACTCACGGCTAACTCAACTTGATACGGTAAATTATATAAGTCATTCAAGTAGCTGTCAAGTAGGTGCATAAATGATATCTGCGTAGCTGATTGTTTACAGAAAAAATGGCTTATAGATTTGAACAACAAAAGCTTATAACAACAAGAACAAATGTACAGAGTTTATATTTGAAAGATTTTGAAATATTAATTAAGTTAAAATATTTGCTATACACATAATTTACATGTTTTCCAACTCAAGGCGTTTGATAAAATAACATCTAGTGATTTTCTGATCAGTGACAAAATCTATTTTAGTCTTATTCAGAAAAGTAGCAAGAGCCTTGAAAAAAACTCAACGACTGTCTTGCAAAAAACACGCAAACACATTTAGCAATATTAAGAAACATTTGTCATCTAAGCGACTATTCATATGTTATTTCTATATCTTTATTGGGGAAAATTAGAGGCGGCGGAACCACTAGGCTGGGTAAGGCTTAAGCTTCCCCTGGATTTGGCGCTGTTAGTCTGAGCCTTACCCCATTTCGATATAGAATTTTTTGAATTTATCACTCTGTTACTTGGATAAAACTTGGGTACATAAACAGAAAGGCCCTGTTTGTCTGAAGAAAAGGTTGTTAACTTGTGGTGGATCTAAATGATGCCGTGTGTTCCCCTGATATAGCTAACAACGCTTAAATCAAAGTACTAATGATTGTAATATATTGTGAAATCAAACAAAAATGACATAAGAAAACTAGCAACAGCATTAATGTCACACTCTTATGCAATGTACACTCTCTGCTCTCGTATACACTCGACGACAAAACTGAAAAGTCGTACAGTATATATAGTAAAAATAGAGAAGAAAGAGAATAAAATACAGTAAATATATAATGACTGCTACCAAAACTGTGTCCAAAACAAAGAGAAGTTCGCGTCCTGCCAAGTGAGAAGATAATCCCGTGCTTTGACACGTGCGAAAGTAGAAAAGTAAAGGAACTAAACATACGACTAGTGCAAAAAGTCTCTAGCCTTAACAAACACGAAAAAGTTTTACTGCGATTTCAATAAAACTCTGCATTTTTTCAGGGATCGTAAATACAGAGACCAAAATGAGATAAATAGTTAAAAATAAGCGATATTGAAGCTTTCCCATACTTTCTCTATATTTTTTTATTCTTATATTATATAAAGAAATATTCAGTATGTTGTGTGTAGAGAATTGAATGAGGAATATTTTATAAAAAAGATTGGGACGCGGCGATCAACTTTGACAGAGATATTTAAAAAGTACTAATAGGGTCATTCTTTATGCGACACGCATTAATTATATAGATATTCCACGTTTTTAAAATAAATATGCTTTTCTTTAATTAGTCTAGCGCAAACGTTTCCTCATTTTTGTCCTTTTTTACTGGAAACTTCACTTTTTTTGGAATCTGAATAAAAAACGTTGAATTCTGGTTGCTACGAAAACTTTTACGAAAAACTGCATCTTCCAGAAAAACCTTTTAGATCCGCTGCTGCCTTACTGTGAGCCTTACCCCATTTGGAAACGCTCCGCCGCCTCTGAGGAAAATGTGTTTTGATCATCAAAAAGTAAGACTTTTGACTATCAAATTATTTAGTAAAGGAGGCAACAAATATAGAACAGAATATATAGAAAATATATACTAGAGGAATATATATGTTATAGTGAACATTAAAATTCAATGAATTTTAAAATTCTACTACGCAAAAATGACTAACACTCATATTTAAATCTCCACTACAATGGAAATTAAAATTTGACTCAAATGAAGCTGATAGTAAAATGGACGCCTTTTTTTATTGAGAATATTATCAGGCAACAAAACAATCACATAAATATTGCTTAATAAATATTGTAACAACATCAGGCATTTGAACACGACGCGTAGTCGCGTTTTTTACAGCTGCAAGTTGTCCATGTTGTGCTAAAGGCATGTTGTACAAAATGCCACACCAAAAGAAGGTGTGTGCGTTCAAATGCCTGATGCTGTTAAAATAATATTTATGTGATTGTTTTGTTGCGTAATAATATTCATAGTGAGAAGTTTTACAAGTAAATTACGTACTTGGTAAGTGCTGTTATTGAATAAGTTTTATGTTAGAAACTTTTAGAAAGCCGCCCAAGTACAAACAAAGTTCATAAACTTATCATACTCGATATCGTATATAAATCGTTTCTTTTAGTTTTAAACGTCAATAAATCAAAAAAGATTTTCTAAGAGCCTTTTAAAAGTCTTCTGGAAACCTCAAACCCCAGTAGTTGAAAGCGTCGCAGTTGACTGTCTATATCAGCCTCTTGTTTTACGTGAAGTCTCAATGTTTATCAAAACAAAATTCTGGAGATACTCTGAAAACCCACTGGAAATCCTTATAAAGGACTGATCATATGCCCATTAGATACGCCGTAATCTATTTATCATTAAGATCTTTTGTTTCAACTTCAAATCCCGATATTTCTGAAAAGGTTTTCTGGAGATCATTTGGGAACCTCGAACGTATGTCTGTTGGATGCGCCATAGTCGATTACCTATGAATGCACTTTATTTGCACTTCAAACTTTAAAACTTCTTAAAAGTTATTTTAATTTATTAGTTTACAATAATTTTAATTTTTTAATTTTTGACTATTTTAATTTTAGTTTTAAGCAATTAATAAAGGTTACTTTTTCTTCCTCAATCATAGTTTTATACAGTAACACTCATAGAATAGGAAATATTTAATTTTGGCAATTTACTAAGTCAAAGATTTTTTATAAGACTTTTACGTTTTTTTAAATTTAAATTAAAATTTTTATAATTTAATTCTTCAAAATTTATTTTATAATTGAAGTAAGCACACTACTATAGTTATTTGTACGAAATTACAGAAAAAAACGATTTCTGTTTAGTGTAAAAGTCTTATAAAACTTAAAAATGGTCAAGTTTTACATTAGTCCGGTTGAGAAGTGTAAAAGAGTGATGATAAATAATGTGTGTGTTGGTAGAATAATTTTTATTCTGTTGTTTTATTTATATTTTAACATAGTGAGTGCATAAGAAACAATTCTGATGAATGGCAATAGATGGACAAAAAAATAGATAGAGATATATTAAAAAGGTTATCTATTAAATTATATATTAAAAGTCATATACCACACGTAAGCTTACATAAAAACTCGACCAAATCTGACGAGTACTCTCTATAAGGTTTACTATAACACCTACAAGAGTATAGAGAATCCCAATTAGTTCTATATTCTTAAGTTTTCGTATGATATCTGGGGTTCACCATTCGACTACGAGACCCACTAAGTATTTTGAAAGATCAATGGTTTTGTATGGTCACTTTGAAAAAAAACAAATATTGTCCTTGTTCTTTTTTCTGCTAAACTTTTTTGGTGTTTTAGTAAAAGCAATCCGGAATCTTTTATGGAAGAAATTATTCTTGGGGTTTCGTACGCTACCTCTGTTTTCGTCAACAGCCTACAAAACCGTATTTCATAAAAGGTTTATTGCAAAAACACGAAAAACTAAAGATTTCGTAGTAATCCTTTTTTAGAGAGTAAGTACAAATCCTGAGCTGTGGATATTAGTATTATTAGTTGCCAATCTATTTGGCCTGATAAAACTCTGCAAACATTTAAAAAGCATAACTCTCAATTAACATTGCTAGAAGTGATTAATAACAATTTTTTGAATAATTTTCTAGGATTTAACAGTTGTCTTTCTATATAGATAATTACACCACGAATATCATTTAATGCTAAAAAGTTGAAAACGTCGATGGAAAACTGGCGGTGGAGGAAGTAGTGGATCATCAGATAATGCACCTAGTGAACTAACGGGTACATTAGCTGAAAAATTATTAGATGCAATGGAAGATGAAAAGGATCCAGCAACAATTATACATACTATGAAATTGATCAACAACATAATTATTGAACTAGTATTATATGTTTCAAAATTATACCTATTTCTACATGTAATTTACAGTTGATGCGCTTCTTATACGGATGAAATATAAAACAAAATAAAAATAGACATTCTCAGATGTTTGCAAGTAGCGTGCATTTTTTGTAACGTGTAGTTAGCCAGTTGTACAATTAGTCATGCATGTGTTATGTTCTTACTCTTCTGATTTCCATTCATTTTATTTTTATTTCAGTATCGAATTTACCGAGATTCAACTCGAAAAGAGATTGAAGATATTTGTGATCTACGTGAACGTAATCAATCAAAACAATCCGATGCTGATTCAACTTATTGTTTATGCGAAAAACAATATCAAGAAAATATGATTAAACGTGATTTATGCAAAGAATATTAGCATCGTATATATTTTGAACTGTTACCATACTGAAAGTGGACGTTAACCCTCACTTTGA